CCGCAAACAATATCTATGTTTTACCAGCACCACATACCCTCACATTCGGTACGGCGACTTTGCTTGCTGCAGCATGTTGTGTGCATGCTGTTCTATGTCTCGTTTCTATGTGGGATAGAGTGCTTGAAATCAATTGGCGCCGACGATTTGGAAACCCGACCAACGACGCGGCAAGTGAAGATGATGAGAGCGCCAATAAAGGCGTTATGAAGAAGGTTAATGATACCATTGGCTTCTTTCTTCGTATCCTAGCGATTCCCGTTTTTGGTGGCGCTGGCCTGGCTATTCTTATCGTGGGCGAGATTAACTTTTTCAGCCCTCAAGTCAATTACCAGACAGAGCCAATGGCCAATATCGGTAAGCACATTCCACTAGTTTTTTGGATAGTTACTAATAAGAATACTTTCAAGGCCAATGGGCACCTATCACAGGTACTGCGATGGCCATGATCGGATCGCTGTATCTCCTTCTAGCAAGACATGCAGATCAAGCAGGCGAACCATACCCATCGCACCATTGCAATTGTTCTCATTGCCATTTTAACGATGAAATAGGCCAAGTCTCTCACCAAGAGAGTATTTCATCACTGAACAGCCACCATATCACATTGACTGTCACAAACACTGATACGCGTACAAACAACCAATTATCACCGCACCTCAATCCAACTCAGCCCCGCACCTCAATATCATCATCTCGACTTCGAGACCCCTCAGTCTTCGAAGAGCACAGTCAAACCCCCCGCAACCCCTACCGACAAAAGATAGAGAATGCATTTTTCAGATTCGGCGAGATGATCGGTACACCAGCGCATGATTTTATCACCGAGCCTAAAGTCAAAAGACCAGACCGTGTTGATTTCCCGATGATACCAGGGGAGCAATTTCGAGATTTAGGTGTATCAGCGGTTGAGATTGAGAGAGACCAACACCAAGACGATGAGCTGAGTCCTGTAAGGTCGAGGCCTGGGAGTTTTATAGGCAGCGATACTTCTGTGCAGGGTGTTGGGAGATCTACGTCAATGCCTATATCACCGCCGCCACTTGCTGTGACGAGGCCGAGGTCGAGCACAGGTCCTAGACCAAGACCTGCTTCTTTGTATCACTAGCAATATGGGAACTGATTGGTTTTGTTTCTTGTTGAAAGATATTATTATGAGTATAGAATATTATGTTAAAACTTATGCTTTCATATCAGGATCTTGATCTTTTGTTGAGGACACTTCACCAGCTGTGACTGTAATTTCATGGCTGTGCTCGAGTCCAGATAGCACAATCCACGTTGGTACGATACACAAGATAGTGATTCCGAAGTTGAGGCCGATGCTGACAAAATGGTTGGCGTTGCCTTCTGATTGCATACTATTTTTTGTTAGATTCTGTTCCAGGAAAGATATTAAGATGCACTTACGCCCAGGCAACGGTCTGACCGAGAGCCTCAAATCCTCGGAGAATACCACAGTGATAAGACAAAGAGGAGATGTCAGTGGTGTATTGTCCAACAAGCCAGTACAAGAACTGCTGGAAAGCTTGACCTCCAAATTGCCAGAAGAAGATGAGGGTATAAGCCTTGCCGAAACCGCCCTTGAACCAATCAAAGACAGGTGGCTCCTGAGCATCATAGAATTGCTTCTGAAGAATGGAAGCCCAGATCCATGTGCCGATGAGAATAAAGATGATGGAAGCGAACGCAATTCTAGCGCGAGTCTTGATGAAAATGGACTGACGGTCCAACAAGGCAGCGATCAGGAATGAACTGATAATTCCGGAGAAGTTGGTAAAGAACGAGGAAAAGGCGCGAGCTCGAACGGTGAAGTATGTCGTCAACCAAGTGCTCATGAAACCGTTGTAAAAGTAACTGATGAAGAAAGCAGGGATCAACAACAGCATGCGCTTGGTGACGAGAAGTGACAGGACAGCCTTGAACTCGGCCAACCAAGAGGGTTGCTTATGAACGACGACGAGGGTGCGATCTTTTCGCTGGACCTTCTCCGCAGGGCTCAGAAGTAAAGCGATTGGTAGACCGAGACACATGATGACGATGAATACGATATAAGTCGCTGAGCTGACGGATCCTTTCGATGAGGTTTGCGCGTTGAGGCCGAGATTGATGGCGCCTCCGACAATTGGGCCCGCTGCCTTGGCAGTTTGCCAAATGGCTATCCCTCATTAGTTTATGTGAAATGATTCCAAGTCCAATTTCATAACTTACCAAGATAAAAGGCCCGGTCCTTGGGACTGGGATATCCAATAATAATGGCTGCCTCAGCTGCCCAGAAGAAACCCGCTGAAATACCACAAAGCGCACTTCCAAACAGCAAAAACCACGTCTTTGGTGCCACATTATTCGTGTAAAGCCCAGCGCCGTAAATCGGATATCCAATGGCTCCAAGCGCAAGACCATAACGTAGACCAATTCTGTTGTTAATTGCACCAGCTGCTATACAAACAGCCGCGAATAATCCGTAAACAAGCGCATTAGCGGCTGATACGGCGTATGGTTCAGCTGCACCTCCGGCGCCGAGACCACCGAGGGCATCCCACATTCCGGGTGCTGTGAAAGATACACCGCATGCTATGGCGATTTGAAAGGGGATCGAACGGAAGAATGATGGTTTTGTGGGGGGGGCGGTTGGATGGTTGATGACGGAGCCATCGTGTGAGGACGCCATTTTGAGAAGCAGTCAACGGCCAAGAAGTGAGAAGAGACTTGAATCTCACAGAATAGGCGGTTCATCAATTCTATTATATGTCTCTAACAATATTGCGTGCGATTGCGTGCTCGATTAACTCGTCCCTCTCCCTGGCTCGATCACCAGTGAAACCGTACTAAAGGGGGCTATTGATGGGGATTATGAGGACTAGTTTCCGTGAGGACCCATCGGCAATCTTGTACCTGCAGTAAAGAGAGCTTTCCACGTTTTTAATGTATGAAGATCAGCCCTGTAGTGCTTCTACCGATGGCAGGCTATGCAGCTGCACTACCCCAGGTTTCATGACATAGAGACCCTTTCTTTGAGAATACGAATTGGAGAGCTTTTGAACTTTACTTGTTGACGATTCAGATCGAAATCTCTGTATGGCCGAGTACCGCCGAGCCGGGAGAGTTCTCATTCAGAATTACATAAAAGTAATTGGATAATTGGGTCCCATCGCCGTTGAAGTGGATTTTGGAGGTAACGGTCCAGTTTTTGCGCCGAGTGGCACTCAATAGGCCAGTTATTAATACACTTTGAACGTTATCAACGAGGTAAGTTTTATTGAAGGTTACAGTCAGAAACACCGTTACATATGCATGTACGATATACAGAGTACTTTAGTTCATCTGATAACAAAAACTCCATCAAAAACGTTATTCTCTGTGGTTCCTCAAATGATGCTGCAGACCTGTTTTAGCGGCCCGCGGCGCCACTCCCGGCTGCCGGGCCGTTTCGTCATCATTAAAAAACAAAAAAACAAAAACTCACCTCGCCTATCTTATCAGGAGTTTCACTTTTGGCACTATGCTGTATCTACCCTAAGCTGGGTTAAAGATCGTAGAAACTTGGCATTATATGTGCCTCAATCCTGCAACACCTCAAGACAAGTTTTCATCGGATACTCGGTGCCGATCATGCATTGGCACTTGCACATGAGCCTCGGCAACGGTTGGACCCCCTCTTTGGAGATGGAAATGCCAAGTTTACCATGAAGAGACACGTCAAGATAAAAGATCGCTATTGCCAGACGCTTCTCTTGTTTGTACTGGGAAATATTCTGTATAGACGATTTTTCTCAGGTATAATGACCGTCGATAATACTCAACCGGAGGGGGAGAACCCGATCGGTGATATTCAGGTTGAGTTTCTTGGCACCCAAAAGTCCAGCAACACAGCGAGTCGTCGCGACCTTGGCTTTACAGGTCAACTTGGAGGGAAATGGTATGCTGTTTACGGCGATGTGCTATGGTGCGATTCAGGTGTGACCGATCCTGAAGACGATAATGAGGGATTTCATGGCATGGTAAGAAATGCCGTTTCTGCTCTGACAGATGATCCACTTGTTGTTGAGGACCTGCATCTCAATGATGATGAGCCGGTTCCCCATCAGAAGCAGTTCATGCCATTTAACGAGGACTGGGGCGAGACGAATACGTTTGGCTTCGGAGGGACGGGAATCGTGGAGGTTGATCCTGATACTGCTACTGGTGCTCTATATTATCTCGTTGTCAGTTGCATCAGTCCCTACACAGGATTTTGTTGACCTGGAATTCTTTAGAATGACGACGAGCATTACAAGGGCGCTGGAGTAGCCAAAGTTGAGCTCATTGACGACATCCCACATATCACCGATCGCTACGGCGAGAATGGTATCTGGTGGAATGGTGATGAGGTCCCCAAGTACGGCGATGTAGCAACATATCGGGACGTCCACAGCGAATACATCTACATCCTCGGAAACCCACCGAACTCAATCACGGACTTCCCTGATAAACTGTACATTTACATGGCTCGCGTACCCGCAAAAGATGCCTTCGACCTTGATAAGTATGAGTATTGGTGGGGTAGACAAGAAGGATGGAAGAGCAAAGTTCTTACCACGTTCAACTGCGAAACGGCTGTTATGTGGGGTGTTGGACAAGGACAGATTGTGTATAACAATCACTTCCAGACGTACTTTTACGTTCACCTTGATCTTTGTACGTACGCTTTCCAATGGTGTTATATCCATTACTGACAGAGTTGGAACAGCCGGTACCGTCTTCTTGAAGACAGCGCCAAATCCTGAGGGTCCCTGGACGGAAGGTAAAGAAATTTACAAGGATGAGCCCATTGATGGGGGACTGGTGTATGCCGGAATAGCATACCCGCATCTGGATGAGTCTGGCGAGACATTGACGATTGGCTTCACCAACAACAACTGGATTCGGGTTATCAGAGTTACATTCACATAGAAGTCATGATATCAACGGAAATTATTAGTATTGTACAATCTGTTTTGTTTTGCCGCAATGCTGTCGCATTACAACTCATCATCCTTCTCTTGCTTGTTCTCACAAACGCCGTCAAAGTCCCCGTATTTCTCCATGCCCGCACTAACAATCTTCTTAAACTCCTTGAATGGACAACTTGCCCCTGGACCATTTTGACATAAAGGCAAGGGTCGAGGTGCCGTGTTTGCAATAAATCTGATGTACTCCTCCTTCTCAGATGTGCCATCTTTAGCAACTGGTCTCTCGCATGTCATCTTCTCCATGCCAACATGGCCTAAGAATGGAATGAGATCAGACATTTTCCAAGCTCGAACGTGGTTGACGTGTGTAGTGGGGAATTCATCGTATCCTTGGCTGGAAGAGGAGTTGAAGATTCCTAGAGCTGTAGCGACGAATGGAGGGACTTCGCGATGGGTGAAGAAGAAAAATAGGCGCTGCTCCTTAGGCCATCCCGATGATTCATCATCAATCAATTCTGAGTTCTCATCGATTTTGCTGAATAGCTTAGACTGTGAATGCAACCACGGAAAACCGAGGTAGTTCGACAGGGGATTGAAAGGCCCGACCATGTGAGCATATTTCATATCCCAAGCATATTCATACGAAAGCCACTCGGCATCAGAAAACAATCCACAAATGGGAGATTTCTTTCCTCGAATTGCAGATTCGTAGCCGCAAATTGATTGGAGCGCAAAAACATCGAAAGGGTCGAGTTCGTAGTCGTCAGGCGTATACGGACGTAAGCGTTTCGCGACGCCACTTGCATAGTTCTTGACAAACTTCTGCTGCTGTTCCGTACCAGGAGATTTAGAGAACTTGGAGCACGCCTTGTGAGGGAGAAGAGCGCGCGTGCCGTTGTTCAATTCCTTCTTGTCAAAGCGCTTAATTTCGATATTTCCATTTTCGGGGAACGCTTGGAGAAATGCCTCGGCTGTGTCGTAGGTTCTGTCTTTTGTATCGGCGATGACGCGCTTTACCGATGACGCTAGGTTTCGATAGCGCTTCGCAAGGTGGTGACCGACTTTCTTCGCGTCGACCTTGCCTGAGGGAGTGACATCTTCGAGATGGTTCTCTTCGATTGGTGAGTACCATTTGTTCAGAAATTCAAGTGGTCCAGAGAAGTCGCCGCGATGCTTCTCGAGCTTGTACAGGAACGGCTTGATGTAGTCCTCATACTCGGCGTCATTGGCGTAAATCGCAGCGTGTCGGATGAGATACGACGCAGCTGTGACTGTACATCCTTCAGGTGCAGCGTGCGACAATCCAAATCCTACGGCATCGAAATATGGCGATATTCCCGGGAGGTGGAGAAGAGGATCGAATTGATAGCCTTGAGTATGATCAAAGCTGTCAATTGGCTGCTGAATGACCGACGCGACAACAATTGCAGGTAAGGCTGCAGCCGCAAAGGCACGCAGACTGTGATGCATCGTTGAAATCAATAATGCAGAAATGATTAAGTAGGGAACAGATTCACGAGGTTGCAGTCTTAGGCTGTTTTATTCCAGGAACATGGTTGGGACGATCGATGACGTACAGGGAATTTGGTGGAACCTAAATGCTAAGCTTCGAAGCTAAGATAAGAAATCAGGGCCAGTGACATTGCTGAGATTAGCCTGAACGGACGCTAAATTCCGGCTTCCACGTCATTCCAAGACATCCAACCTCAATCAATACAAAAGCAAATAAATATTAAAGGGGGCATCAATTGCCATTGTCAATCATTTTGGGCAATTGCTCAACAAACAATGTCTTTCGGATTGCGTGGACCATAAAACCTGGGATGCGCCAATTTCCATAATGGCCTACGCCAGACTTGCCGATCTGCATTCCTCCCATTGCTGCGAACGTTAGCACTATTTGTCATGATAGGTCAGGAATCTCATACCAGTGGTCGAGGCTTTGTATGGAATCATAGGCTTTCCAAGTATTATCTGCACTAAATTCTTGGCCATATGACCAGCCTGCGTATTCACGAACCAGAACTGCGGTGCTTCGACATTAGACACGTCGCCAATTGCGAAAACATCCTCTCGACCTTCGATGGCAAGATATTGGTTGACCTTGACATAGCCTTGCGCGTCAAGAAGATCGGGCGGGATGAAGGATGAGTTGGGAACTACACCAAAGGTTGGAATGACGAGGTCTGTGACTACCGTCTTCCCGTCGGAGAAATTGACTTTCTGCTTGCCGTTGGGAAGAGTAATGGACTCCTTAACTTTTGTGTTAAGTCTGATATTGACGCCGAGCTTCTCGAGTTGACCATGTGCGGACTTGGAGACGCTGTCGGGGCGATTATCGAGGACAATTGGCCCAGCATTGATCTATACACGGCGTCAGCTTGATCGGGGCTTGAGTGGATGACTTTCTTACCAGGCTAATTTCCTTCTTGTTGCCATAGTAGTCCGCTAACTCGCCTGCAACCTCTACACCAGTGGGTCCTGCACCAGCAACAATAATGGACTGAGCTTCTCCAACACGCTTCTGATACGCATGAACATACTCTCTCGTTGCGTCCGTTGATCCCCTGGACTTAAATGGCGACTCGGCTTTAGTCGAAGATCCAGTACCAATGAGGAGATAATCATAGCTAATGAAAGTCTCCTGCCCTGCTTTATAAACCTTGACCTGTTTATTACTGATATCAATGCCAGTAGCCGTAGCAACGATCAACTCAAACTTGTCACCGTATTTTGCGAACCCAGGTGCAATAGCTTGGAAGAGCTTATCATCGGGGATAGTTCCTGGGATGATGGCGCGGGGCATGGCAAGATTCCAGAAGAAGTGAGAATCACGAGAGATCATTGTCACCTTGTACGGCCCTGCACTTTTGTTCTGCATGCCCTGGAGGAACTTGTGAGCTGTCCGGACAGAGGCGAAAGAGCCGCCTATCGTGACGATATGTTTTGGCTTCTGAGACATGTTCTTTGGCTTCTGTGACGGTTCAAGAAAGATTCCGCAGGTGATAAAGTGAAAGGCGTTAGCCAAGAAATTGAGGAGGGCAGCAAGAAACATGGCAGATAGTATTCGCGGATCTATACTGAGTATGAGGACTGGCTCCTCGCCACATATTTAATATTAATCAATGTACGCATTCCTCCATGATGTGCTGACAGTGGCAGCCATGTCAGACTAATAAGCAATTACATATCAACAGTCTGTCCCATGTTGATGTGTTAGCTTATATATTCCCGCGCGGCTAATACTCCAGATGTCGTCAGATCTCAGATGGTTGCTACAGTTGGGGCTGACATCGCACCATCGTGCCGCGCGGTAATCAGTCAGCAACATTCCGCGAACCTTGAGTCTTTCATGGCCCCTTTGCTGTTGCTCCAATCTTAGATTCTTTGTCTCCTAAATATGCCAGTTCGCCTGCAGATCAACAATTCAATTCCACAGTTCCAACTAATCTAACACAAATTGAACCCAAGCATCACCATGAATCCCGTCAAGTTATTCGGTGTTGGACCAAAGCGGTGTGATATTCCGTTGGCCAATGTAGAGAAATTAAATAGAATGAATTATGTGCCTAGCTGATTTGCGTGTTTCATCATTTATCCGGTAATGCCGAAAGTTGGGATTGCATGTTCTCACAAGTAAGCAGTTTGGGATTGAACAGAACGGTGTAGGGTAACGTGTCTGCTAGCCTCGATTAGTATTTCTCGACCACACCCTTCGCCCAAACTGTGTATCTGACCTCACTAAAGTCCTACCCTTCTGTATAATTGCCAATGCCTTTTCAGCCTATTCCAGGCAGCATCATGTTATAATCCACATTCAGGACGACTTGGCTGGGGCTATGCTTACCTCACGTGATCACCTCGCCTAACACCTATATATCTTTCTTGGACGACATGCAACTATCGTCAGTGCTTCTTCCGTAACAAGCTTCCAACCATGGCTTCAGAAGAATCACCACCACCCAAGACGATGCTAGTCTTTAGCAACAAGTCACAAGAGGAGGCCGCTATTTTCGGCCTCCGTGGCAGTGACATCCAGAACCTCAGAGCTGAGCCGGTCCCTGGCCCGCCCGCTACGCCCGATGAGTGGGGGTTCACGAGCCCAACGGCAGATGGGGTCTGCAAATACTGTCAACTCATGCTTCATCCAGATCCGCCGCAGCTTATCCAGCATCAGCCCAATATCATGCACCTGATTAACTCAGGCGATAGGTGCTCGACTTGCAAATGGCTGGAAGTTAGCCTACAGCGCGGTGCTACCTCAGTGCTAGCTGAATTTCAGCGAGGCAACCCGGAGCTATGTGACGAGAACAACTTCTCAAGACCTGTTACCGTGGAGTTGACGAAGCATGAGAAGTATATCATGGCAGTTGGCTGGGTTGGAGACAGGCAACTTTACACGAATGGTGGAATACCTCTAACGATATCTTCGCCATCCCGTCTAGGTATGCCTCCAGCACCACTATAGAATCTGTGTCTAACGTATTAAATAGGGAGTCTTGCTAGTCGGCGATTCTGGATTCCTCACGACGAACTGGATGAATCAGAACCTTTTAAGCGACAAGATATACTGAAGATGTGGCTGAACGAATGCGAAAACCACGAACAGTGCATTAAATCTCTTCCTAATACCAAAGAAGCAAAACTTCCAACGCGTGTGCTGGACCTGAGTGAAAGCGTGGACATTCCATCGGATCCCAAAGACATCAAGATCAAATTACGAGAGACATGGGAGGGAGAAACTGGAACTTACACGGCTCTGAGCTACTGCTGGGGTGCCAACCCAGATCTCCATTTCAAAACGACAAGCGAGAATCTCGAGAAGCACAAAGAAGGAATCGACTTTTTCGATTTACCTCTGACACAGAGGGAGACTATCCTTGCTACGCTTTACCTAGGAATTCGGTATCTTTGGATCGACGGCTTATGCATCATTCAAGACTCTCGTGAAGACTGGGAAGCCGAGTCAGTCAAGATGGGGTCTGTTTATACGAATGCACATCTTACGCTCGCAGCTACTTCATCTGATACCCCAGAGATGGGTCTTCTTCTTCCTTTCCAAGGCGCCGAATGTGTCAAGATACACGGAGAGACTGTGAGTGTTCGAATGGAGACGCATATGGAGCTCGATAGGATGTCTGAGCCCTTGAACACTAGAGGCTGGACACTTCAAGAGGGCGTGTTGGCGTCGAGAATTGTCTGCTTTGGCAAGGAGCAGTGGCTCTGGAAATGTCCTAGTCGCTACGCCACGGAAGATGGACTGATCGATGTCCCGCGGGACTTTGATGGCGGTCTGATTCAGTGGGCTGATATTGTGCAGCAAGGCCCCGGAGAGGATGGAAAGAATTATTTGCGACATTGGTATCGGATGGTGACAAATTACTCAAGTCGTGATCTGACTTACCAAAGCGACAAATGGAATGCCATCGCTGGACTGACAGAAATGTTCAGAAACTTGACTGGTTATACCTACCTGGCAGGTCTTTGGGAAGAAGATCTCGCAAATGGACTTGTGTGGGAAGCTAAAATGCGTGGGGTGATCCGTGAGCCGGGAAGCATCCCATCATGGTCCTGGATGTCCGTGAAAGGCGGGATCAAGGGATATGTACACACGACCCCAATGACCTCTATGATCGAGCTTTTACAGAGTGATTTGCAATGGGAAGGAACCCCGCTCGCATCACCTCTGAAAGTTGCCCGCTTGACAGTCAAAGGAAAGATCATCCAGGCAACATTGGGAGCGCGCTCTGTTACACAGGACTCTCGGCATCACGTTCTTGCAGCCTCTGGGAGTGACGAAATCTTTGGCGAGGCGTTTCTGGATAGTAAAATTCCTGATGGGGCCGAAATGCCGACTGTCTCGTGCCTTTTTGTCATGGAAGTGCCCGAGAAGGAATATTTCACATTGCTTCTCACACCAGCATCAGACGGTGAAGAAGACGGCCACGATAAAGGTATGACAAGACTTGGTATTGGCGTTTTCTGGACTCGGTCTAGATTTTACAGTAATAGGACTGAAGGAGACATGATTTTGGACAAGGCTTCAGAGGCCACAGTAGTGCTGGTATAGAAGGGTGAAATTCCATGGCGGTATTACTTTGTTTCTGAATGAGAGTACGTACCGAATCAGGCTCCGAGTTTGGGAAACAATGAGTTGTTATAATTGCTGCCTGAAATGTGCATATGCCCCATAATCATGCGTTCTCGTCCTAGATTGGTCCACTCGCAACCCTGCCTGGCTGAAACTTTGGGACGGCTGAAGCCGCTTCTCTGAATATCCTTGACCAACGTGCATAAGCTGAAGAATCTGATGTCATAGTCTATCATAGCCCGAGTAGCGCGGAGAGATCAGACTTATTAACAATCTTTATATTTAATTAATTAGGAGAGATTTGCTAAACAAATAGTTCATAACAGTAGGCATGAACATTTGCTTCTTGGATTGACTGGTGAAAAAGAAATGCGACTCAGGCTGCCTGGTTCAAGTAGCCTGCATCCAGCGCATCGGTTACACAACATATGTGATGTTCGGAGGAAATGAGACATGTCGTATTTATGTGCAGTGAAGCTGGCGCTTGCTCATTAACCTCACCAATCACAGTAGCCAGCTTCCGACAGCTATCGCTTTAGTTTCGTCTTGCCATTTTGCGGTGACAAGAGGCTTGACTCGTGAATTACAAATACCCCGTGGGTAATACAAAATAAAGAAAGTCTAAGTCAGGCTAGAGGATACTCACTCAAGACACCATAACTTGAGCACTCCATCTCCAACTCATTGCCCAAAATGCGGTTACACGACTCACAGCTCGGAGACGCATACCAGGATAAGAAGAAGGACGAGGTTAGAACTCGCCTTGGGGATGAAAATTGGAAGGGGTGAGTACCACTTCACATGGAAATCTAACCAGCACTGAAAGGTTACAGGGCCACGGAGCGAGGGCCTTATTTGAAGTATGTTGAGAGCCTGGTAAGGAGATGGCCGCAGCTTGAGCTTCTACATGATTTCATGGAAGTTGGTACTGTACCTACGCGCTGGTGCATATTCCCTGGAGAGGAAAAGATGGAGAATGAGCCAAGACGCTATGCATATAGTACTGCCATAGACCGTAAGTAACAACGCATCTCAAGTCACTCCCACTGACCTTGCAATCGAAGATAGAAGAAAAGAACAAGAAGAAAGAGCCCAGAAGATGAATATCGCGTGCCTGAAATTCAAAGAAGATGGACAGGCAGAACAGCACCCAACCAATAACCTTCATAGGCCTCAAGATCTTAGAAGGACCATTGAAATGGCAAAAAAGCCTGAATCAGGAAGCATGTTCAGCTTATTTGTCGTCGAGGACCTTTCACGAGACGTAATCGAAACCCTTGGATCTGAGCTAGCTATTGATCCACGATTCTTCCGCGCTCATATTACCGACTATGTCTGGAACAACATCCGCGACCGATGGCGTGAGCCGTCAATACTCCAGGTTGATGCCAAAAGACAGACGTGGTTCCAGCTACGCTTGATCCGTTCTCGGTACTTTGAGAATCAAAACCAGCTGAAGGAAGCAAAAGATCAAGTCAATAAGTTCAATGTTGTGCGACGCCTTGACGCGGATAAGAACCAGATTTTCTGGGATAAGGACCCAGATCCAACTATATGGGAAAGGCTTGCAGGTAAATCTTCTCGGGATACGGATCGAGTGGATGCAAAGGTTGGACATATGCGCAGTCGTGCTACGTTCTGGTTAAACCCAGAAACAACTATCGGTAAGCATACTGATTTAGGTCAGGAATCCCAGGCTGACGATTCTCAAAAATAAGGTGTTCTTTTACTTGAACCAACTCCGGAAGCCGGGTATCCTCTTTGGCGGGGATATCCGAACTGGGACGAGCTTCCTGCTTTCGGTACCACCGATGTCCCTCCAGACGCAGTGCGTGACCTTCGAATCCCGCCATCTTTGAGATCCAAGGATGCTGGAAACCCAATGAGCTGGTTCGAAGACTACATTTTCTGGGCTAAGAAGAGTACCAACTTCGGGAAGCCCGAAGATGGTGCGAATCAACAACTTTCTATTCCCATCCAGTGCTTGTTGCACTTGGTATGTGGCGAGTGGCTGACGTTCGCTGACTATCTTAACGCCCGGCTCAACCAAATCGACTGGGGAATCGTGAACCCATCATTCTTCCCCGAGTCTGGAGGCACAGACCATCAGAAGCAGAGTCTTAGAAAGCTCCATTTCTGGCGGCGATGGGTACCCCAAGCACGGGATATGCTCCAAGCAACCATGAGCCAAGTCATGAACGACAAAGGCAAGGAGGTTGACAAGTCGTTTAAGCTGTACCATGATGATTTGGAGATTATCAAGAAGCGCCTGGAGGACTACGAAACACGGATCGACCGTCTCAGCACGGTTGTCAACTCGACTATCAGCCTGACTGATGCCGGCAACACATCCAAACTCACCATACTGGCATCGTTTTTCATCCCGCCGAGCTTAGTGGCTGCACTATTATCAATGAACATGGATCCGCTGATTGGGCTTGGGAACTCGCTCAAATGGTGGGCAGTGGCGTCTGTCGTGGCTGTGACGATTCTTTTCACCATAGGTTATCTCTTGAAGACCAAGAAGGCGGAAACCTTGAAAAAGAACTTGTCAATTACGAAACTGGGGTCTAAGTTGGAAGGACAGTGGAGGAACAGGTCACAGCCAAGTCTGGGTGCGAACGGTTCAGTTTGTTGAGAGACAGAATATATGATTATGCTTAAAAAGGCCCGGCCTTTACTTGGGTCATAGTGAGGGAAGGAAATGGAGGGACGTGGGACTGTATACGGCCATTTAGTCGGTGAGTTTGGAAGGAATGGGGCTTGACTGTCGTAAAACTAGCCACTCGAAATTGTTAAAGTAATTGAGGCCTGCCATGAAGGGAAGCTCGTATCATGCACGCCAAGCTGCCAGGATATATCACAACAGCTAACGTGCAGCGCTAGCGGTGATGTTTGCATATCAGGGAGTGAGCTACGTTGCGGATTGCAGTCCAATAAGATCCTCTAATGAGTGTCGTGGCAAATACTGACTTCCTTTTGCCCATCCACTGGTTCCAAAATGTTTTCCGAGAGACTTACATCACAGTGACAAATACGTCTAGATATTGTTCATACTCAATGAGGGGAAAATGGAATGTATCAGAAGTAGTACTACCTACGCGGAGTATTCAAAACCCGATAGACTTTAAGCAGTAAAATAAATTCCGATTCGACGTAGTTATAAGAATTCGATCTATATCCATCTAATTATACTTGTCTATCTTCTTCCCCATCTATAGTCTATGCGGGTATAAATTAACAACAACACATCAGAGCTTTGCCCTGGCGTGCATAACAGGACAGCCATTTGTCTTAGCCCCTTGCCCGAACTCTGCATTTGTCGAGACCGAATCACTCTTCTTCGGCGCGCTTCTATATCCTCCCTTCTCATTATCGCTGTTCGTGATGTTCCCTTCTGCGTCTCTTGCTATTCCCAGCTCCAACAGCTTGGCGAATGCTGCTTTGAAGTCGTTGAAGAATAGCTCCTTGTCTTCAGCATAAAGACGCACGTACTTGGAGAACTCAGGATCTGTTGTCAGAGCTATATCGGTTGGAAGCATCATCAACTCCTCTTCTGTGTCAGGGTCAACAGAAGAGAACTGAGTGACACCAGATTCGGGAACTGTCTTCTCAGTCCACTTTTCGGACAGCAGGAGGCGGAAATATTGATTCGAAAATCGTGTCGGGTTGTTGACCCATTTACCCTCGAATCCCGAGTTTTCCGTATGACATCGTCCGAGACTGTGCGCCCCACTGAGGGCTACAATCTCACGGTCGTTGAATCCCATTCGGTAGAAGATGTCTCGGATATGGTTTGCTCCTTGAGCCGCATCAGGAAGACGGCCGCGAGGTGGAAGCTTGCTGTCGTCGGTAAAATCTGTTCGCCCCGGAAGCCAATCGATTTCCGGACCGCCCATGGCTCGGATGGCTGTTACACCGGCAAGCGTCCATAGGTCTGAGTAAGTAATCCATGGGTGAAGACGCTTGATGGGCTCTAGGAAGAGGCGAGCATTCTGAAGGCCGGCGTTGGCGGGGTCGCCACCCTCGGCCTCGTAGCGCATGCCAGCGCCGTTTGAACCCCCAGTATCTGTTGTTACGTCATATGTGCCAGAAGAGTGCCTAAAGACTACATTAATCATGAACCGATGTTTGTTGGGTTGTTGTAGACTTACCAGGCTAGGCGCACAAGAACAGGGCCGGCACTTCCATCGTCATAGTCTGGCTGGCGGAGAAGATCAATGACGGATTTTCTGACAGATTCGAAGTCACCAGGCCTCGAGGCCTGGGTTTCTGGTAGCGGCTTATCGATACTGGCCATCTCGAAAAGGCTTGGTGGAGAAAATGAAGAAATTTGCGTGGTAGAGTATAAAATAAACAAAGTGTACACTGAGTCCGAAAGCAATTCCAAGGTTTGAAATACAGGATCTTAATAGAAGGAAGGAATGACTACAAATAGAAAAGTTGAAGTGTCAAAGGATATTAAACATAAAAATCAGGAGACATTCTCGGTGCCATGTGATTGTAAATTAGACCAAGGCCCACAAGCAAGAGTCGTGATTGTGGGTCGGCAAAGACTGCCGAGGTAGATTGATAAGGATCAAGCCGAGGAAGGGATATTTCCAATCAATCAGAACGAGATAAGAGAAAAAATTAAGTAGTTCAGTCTATGTTTGTTGTTCAACTTTTGCTTCCTCTTCGCCACATTTGCATCTCAATGAATGTTGCTCCAATATCTCCAACTACCCCAAATAAAAAAACTCCCCTTCGCCCGGTTGGTCAACTCGGTCTCCAAATCGGCTAGGTCTGTCGACTCCAACTCTTTTCGAAGAGTCATACCATCTTCCTATCGCTGTACCTAAAGTCCTAGATTTTTGCCTCTAAAGTTAGAAACGTTCTGGCTACTGAGTTTTAGGTGGTGAATCTAAGCGCTTAGCCGCAAGGCCCAACTGGAAACAACACGTTCTGCGCTCAGCTATCACCAGCGAAAATCTGTATGGTCAGTAAGCCAAATTCATACTGCTGTATTTTCCATGCTCGTCACCACATTTTCGCCGAATATGAATAGAATTACTTCTAAAGGATATTATTACTTTGGTTCGTAATTCAATTAGATTTCCTTTGACGTTCACTGAGCGGACTTCAAAAGCGAGATACCACTCATCGCGCTAATCACTATCCAATTTCCACCAATTGGACGTTGTATCATGAAACACTACCAATCTTCCGGATGAAACATCTTGGCAGGGACACTGCGGGTCAAGGTCATCAGTTGAAAGGCTAAAGCGCCCTTGTCATGGATGGTTGTGAACTTGTCTTTCTTGTTTCCCTGTCTTCTTTTGTTCTTTTCGTTGTATTATACTTATAAAATGAGGTTGTTCCTTCAGCTTTTGAGTCTGGCAGCTGGACTGTCCCAGGCGACAGCTACCCCTGTATTGTCCAGAGCCGCTGGTGCTGCCAAGAACCTGGTCGTCTTGTAAGCTTTCTCTTTTCCATTGATGCTATCGTTCTCATAAAGCTCTCAGTGGCGATTCATACTCGACTGTCGGCTTCTGGCCCGGGGGCGACTTGCCCAGCCCTGGCAGCCCTCTCGGAAATCCCGCTCTACCAGGACAAACAACAGCAAATGGATTGAACTGGGTGGGCCAATTGACCAGCGTGCTGAATACTTCTTCGGTCCTGACTTATGACTTTGCTGTCACTGGCGCTACAGTTGATAAGGAAATCGTCTCGACATATGCACAGTACTGTGTTGATGATCAGGTGGCCCAGTACAGAGAATATGTCGCAAACAAAATCAGTTCTGCAGAAACACTTGTCGCCGTATGGATCGGGATCAATGATCTCGGTGAACCATTCTGGAAGAAATCGGCAGCGCCAATTGAGAAGACTATGGATCGGTATTTCGAGCTTTTGAAGACGCTGTCTGAGGCTGGACTAAAGAAGTTCGCCCTCCTCACTGTTCCTCGTACGCCTTTTCTCCCTATTCCATAACCCAAGCTAATGTCGTACCAGCAATCGCGGACCAAATTCCGGCTATGATCGGCCAGTCCGAATCAGACCTCAAGACGCTTCGTGCAGACATCATTGCCTACAACAAAGCTCTGACTGAGCGTGCTGCTACCTTTTCAAAGTCTGGCTCAGGTATCGAGGTGACCGTGTTTGACACGAAACCTACTTTTGACACCGCAGTCAAGAACTTCAAAGAGTATGGGGCCAAGGATGCGACATGCTATGGTGGAAATGAGTGCCTATGGACTGATACATATCATGCCGGTGTCGCTATTCACAAAGCTCTTGCCAAGAATTTTGCGGAGGGTGTTAGTAAAGTTGTCACGTTCTGAGCATTGAATCTTGTAGAATAGTTGCGCTGGTATCCGTAGAGTCAATTAATTGACCTTTCAACACCCTTGTTGGAGATCGCTAGTTTGTTGGTTTGGCGATGAACACATCGGGGCATTTAGCCGAGCCAGCATGTGAAGTGCCCCTCACGTTCCAATCACGACATGCAATTTTATCCCTCACCTATTGTTATTACTGTCGACATAATGGCTAATCCTCTCTCGACTGCCGATCCCGTGGCGCTAGAAGTTGATGAGGCTGATACCAACACTGCTAGCGATACTGACTCTCTTGGTTCAATTGAAGGGAGCTCCACTTCGTCAATTAACTCAAGCATTCTAAAGTATCGCCAAGAGAACGGCCGCACCTATCACGCGTATAAGGACGGCCAGTATGTGATCCCTAACGACGAGCAAGAGCAGGATAGGCTTGATTTGCAGCATCATCTTTTTCTTCTCACCTTTGATGACAAGCTCTATTTATCGCCCGCCGGTCGTGAAGGTCGTCAACTACACAATGTTCTCGACGTTGGGACAGGTACTGGACTTTGGGCTATGGACTTCGCCGATGAGCATCCCAACGCTTCAGTCATCGGCATTGATCTCAGCCCCATCCAAAGTCCCTTCGTTCCTCCGAACTTGAGCTTCCAGGTCGACGATATTGAAGAGCCGTGGACATTTCATGTCAAGTTCGATTTCATCTACAGTCGCATGATGACTGCATCCATCGCTGACTGGCCCGGCTTCTTCGCCAAGGCCTATGACAATCTCAATCCCGGCGGCTGGATCGAACTGGCAGACATTTATCCAATTACCAGCGATGATGGAACTCTCGCAAAAGACTCGGCAACTCATGAATGGGTCACCAAATTGTTGGACGGCACAAAGATGATTGGAAGACCATTCGACGGGGCGAATAAGTACAAGGAACAACTCGAAGCCCAGGGCTTTCAGAACGTCCAACAGGTCGTGTTCAAGTGGCCTCAGAATACTTGGCCGAGATACAAGAAGCACAAGGAGCTTGGTGAGCATAAATCCTTGCTCCAGTTCTCTAGGTTTACGAAGATACTGACCGCGTGTAGGTGCTTGGAATCTTGAAAACATCAGCTCGGGCCTCGAAGGTCTCAGCTCTGCTGTCTATACACGTGTCCTCGGTTGGACTAAAGAAGAGCTGGATGTATTACTCGCCAAGGTTCGCCGCGAATTGAAAGACAGAGCCATTCATTCTTACTGGCCTATGTAAGTCAAGGAACCACATCAGCAATACACTAAGCTAACCTGGTGTAGATATGTTGTATATGGGCAGAAGCCAGAGGAATAAAGTGGTGCCTTCTTAGACGACACGTTGTTTCTCTTTTGTACTTGAAAAGTTAAATAGCCAGAATGTTATTGAGCTCTTTCTGAGTGAAACTCAGACTTTCGTTATGTAGATAATTCCAAGATACAATATTCTATCCTCGCCTTGTCACCTGTCCAACTTCCTCAGATTCCATCAACTGCACGAGTCTACTTCGGAGCGAACTTTTCCAGAGTCCTAGTGACAAGGTTGTAGGTCGAGTTCTTGTCCAAACTCAGGTACAAGTCTGAGCCCTCATTGAAGCTACCCCAAGCAGTCCATCCATACCAGACATCACTGTTGCGATCGAGAAATGCCAGCATGGATTGAATCGTGTCAGCACATTGAGGGAAAGGTCCACCTCCAAACTCTGTGACCATTCCTTGAAAGCCATTACGGCGCAAGATGCGAGTGACTTCCTCAAACCTCTTCACAAAACCACTCCAGGGCTCGCAGAGACCATATGCACCGGCGATATCGTCAAAGTACTGGTGGAAGTCGTAGAGAGTGTTGTTGGCGGGGTCTTGAATGAGGCCGGGACCGATGCCTGGTTGAGAGAAAGCCTCCCAGTCAACGAGGCGGGCAAATTGTGTTCCTGAGACAAGGATCTTCTGTTTGTCGGTGACATTTCGAATCGCAAGGATTACAGCCTGGTTTGTCACGCCCCATTTAGTGATGTCAAGATCATGAGCTGGAGAACTGTCAGTTTGACCACAGGCAATGGACTATGGGTTAAGAGATGCTCGGGGCTTTACATACGTTCATTCATGAGTTGGAAGATGACCTTGGGGTTTGATTTGTATCTTTCGGCAAGCCTTGTCCAGAGATCGGCAAAGTGGTCGTTCGTGACGGTGATGTTGGGGTTGAGGAATGACACTTCAGGTTGTCCAATCACGGCGCAGTACCAACGTGCATAGTTGTGCTGGAACAATCAGTGTGCGTACAACGAAATGAGAGGGGAAGATGTCTACTTACAATATCCAGGATGGCTTGTCCACCGTCATCGGTAATAGCCTTGACGAGCTTGTCAACTGCTTCCATGTTGGTCTCATTCAGGCTGCCCCAAAGCGAGGTCTGGACATGTTGCCAAGCCATAGCAATTCGAAAGAGATTGAAGCCTTTGTCGTGCCATGACTTGTAGTCTTCAACTGTGTTGATGTATGGATAGCTGTGATAACTTGGCTTGCAGGACAGGTCGAGGAAGGTGTTGTAAGCTGATCCGAGGATGTTGACATCGTTGGCGAGACCAAACAAGTTGACACTGCACATGTAAGTCAGTTTTCCCTTGGAAAGATGATCATGTTAAACCTACCCTGCCCATTTTACTTGGCTGGCAATGGTAGTTTGCACTGCGAAAAGCAACGTAAAAGTCTTGAGCTGCATGATGACAATGAAAGAGAAGACTGTGGTCATTTGATAGACTTGACTGAGACTGCGAGAAGGGACTACTTTATAGTAATCTTGCTGCTGATGCGCTCATAATTCAATAATTTCTTTGATCAGTGGCAGTGCCATGTTCGACCTTGACTAACACTTTCACCTCGCACTCCAGTTCCTAAAAGAGTAGTCTGAGATGACGATTCGTCAGCTTCGGCGGAGCCACGCTAGACAGCACCTCGCGATCCGGCCCCACTACCGAAGCTGAGGATCACGCTTTCTTACGATGATCCGGAATCGCCGGCACAAATGATCAGTGAGTGACTCTTGTAGAATTCCATTGGGATCACGGTCAATTGGTCCACTGAACACCTTCCAGCCTTGCCCACTGCTACCTTTAGCGGCAATCAGTGCGTTAATGGCGAGAGCTGGTGAACCTTAGGGCGGAGGCCAAGCAAAGCAGTTCTCAATATTTCTCTAGGATCTGCGCCCCAATGAAAAGCCCTTTCGTAGTAGATATTCTTTCCATAACTCCTGTAACCCATTCTTGCATGATCGGGAAATCGTTCAGATGATTATAAGCAACTTTCAGTGGAAATAGCAGGTTGAACGCTCCCGATGCACCACTTTCCTTCTGTAACATATAATCAACGCATTGACATATCGCCTGTGCGTTGCGGTACCGGTTTTCATGGTTCCAGAACACAAGCTCCGATGCCTCTGGAAATTGGCTTTCGTCGGGAGACATACCTGCATCGAAGACGTAACAGTTGTCTGGCAATGATATCAACTGTCCCAATATTGAATGCAATATCAAGTGAGTTGTGTTGAAGTAAACAAATTCGATGGCTCTTTCGAGATCAGAAAATCGTAGGAGTTGCTCCAGTGTTTCATGGTATAGTTCTGATGATCCGTGTATCCTCTTCTGTCTCCAGCAGCTATGAGGATACATGAAGTTCCACGAGATTCGTAAAGAGTTGAGCTGTTCAAAAGACGCCTGCAACTTTTGACTTATAAGATTTGCAGACACCGGGGAACTCTTCGCATTGAAAATATTATCGAGGTCCTCCATCATGCCAGGGATACCGCATAAAATATCTTGCAGGAATTCTCCAATCGTCTTTGACATGGGTTGCAATGCCCATGGTATATGCTTCCACTCATCTTGTTCTAGAAAGATGCGTTTTCGGTTGGCCATAGCACCGATAGACTGAAACACTTAGCAATAGGTCAGTTGTAAAGGGGAAAAGCTTACTATGAATGATCTATTGATCTGTAGAATGGGCTTCGCCGCGTCCACCTGGAATCCATAAGGTCCTGCTATTTCCGTCTTTCAACGTCAGCGAAACCTAATCAGCAATTATCCCAAGGCTGCCGTACCAATGCTGCAACACCATGGCAGTGTTGTAGCCAGTTTGACATGGAATCAGAAGATATCATCTCATAGACGCCAAGGAACAGCGCACTCCATATGGTGGCATGAGGGAGAGGCCTCGACGCTTCAGTCCTCGTTCCAAGATCGACCTTCAGCTTTTGGACCGCTTTTCCATACAGTACAGAGGCGTTGACTCTCATTTCAGGTATACAGTGCATAGTAGAGAAGAAGGCTTCTGCAACACATAAGCCCGACATACCTGCTGTTGAGTCTGCCTCGCTTGAGAAAAGATTGAGGATCGGTGATCCGTCTTCGAGAGGTGACTTGACCAGTACAAACAAGTTTTTGACGAAGAACGATGTGACTACTTCATTCTTAAAACCATGCAAGTCGATTGTGACAGGCATTTGCTTGAAGTCCTCCCTTTGGGTCAAGGCATTCGGAGACTGAAGGTGAGCATCTTGAGGTCGGATAGTTTTGGCAGCATCATGTAAATGGTTTACAAATACAAGATTGTCGTCGTATTTGCATGGATGAAAGCCTTTACTGCACCTCTGACAGGTTGGTCGCTGTTCATCTATGGTCATCAGCCGTGAACAGAACCTTGAGGGATAATGACGCACCGCATTTGACCCTGCGTTTGCGGCATGTCAAGCATCCTTTACTGCGTCGAGGTTGCGTCCTTGGCTGGGTACTCGATGCTACAAAGCCTTTTGGCTGCGAAGACATGTCCCTGTCTGCAACGTTGGCATGTCGAAGTGAAGGACTAGCATTTTCGCTTGTGAGGGCCTTTTGCGGCTGGCCAGGCGGAGTTGTGAATTTCCTATTTGGGTGTAGAATCAAAATTGGCAAGCTGCAGATGTTGATTGGCTCATTTGTCCGGCGGGTTGGTCTTCGGTGCTCGGGCCTCATACG